GAAGGGAGTTGGAAGGAGAGCTGGGAGCAGCAGGGCTCTAATCAGTCTCCTTCCCTCTCTGGGTTAGATAAACATTGTAAGGACATTTTTCTGATATTAGTTTTAAGATCCAGACAAGTTTTGCCTTCAGGTTTTGCTGTTGCTGGTGCCTGTGTTCTCTGGGATATTCAGGGTTTTTTTCAGTGCTGTCTTGCAGCAGAGGCAGATCTAACTGCTGATTTCTGTGTGATAAGTGCCTTTTTCCCCTCAATTCAGCAGCAGGTTTTCCCCTGTGTGGTGTGACACCACTGCCATGAGTACAGGGCACAGCCCACAGTGCTGGGTGTCCTGAGAGCAGGACAGGGGTGGGTGGCCCAAAGCCAGGAGAGGACCCCAGGTAGCCCTTGTGTAACTGCACCTCCTCTCTGGTTTTACAGACATTACGACATCAAAAGGAACGACGACATAGTGTCATTCTTCAACGACTTCAGCGACCACCTGGCTGAGGAGGCCCTGTGGGAGCTGTCCCTGAAAATCAAACCTCGGAACATCACGAGGCGGAAAACAGATCGGGAAGAGAAAACCTAGGAGGAGGGGTTGTGCGAGGAGAATTGCTCCGCAGAGGCGCCGAGGGCAGCTATGAGACTGGAGTTCAATGTTTGTACCTGTCACTGGATGACACACCCTCCCTCCCAGCTGGCAGCCATCCCTGGGGGTGGGAATGCCGGGCGCGAGGCGCCGGCGCAGCCGAGGGCAGAGATCGGCCGGGGCTCGCTGCACTCGCCCTCCTCCTCCTCCCGTCCCTCTGTGCCATGAACCAGCTTTAACCCCGGGGACAGAGCTGTGTGGAAGGAGTGTCCCACGCGAGCGTGTTGCTGGTTTGCTGGCCTGTTGCATTCAGGTGTTCCCTGGCTCTTGTTCCCATCCAGAGCAGGGGCAGCAGGAGCTCAGCACCCACTGACTCATCTCCGGAGCGGCGTCGGGCAGCAGCGGCCGTGGAAGCCAAGGGTTGGAGTCTCCCCTGCAATGCCACCTTCCCAACGTGTTCGTGAGGATGGAAGTGTCTCCTGCTGCCTGCCAGAGGAGCTCTGCTTCCAGAGAGCTGCTTGTGTTTACAGGGGTCTCGGCTCACCCCAGATCTCTGGCGCCTTCTTCGCGGGAGGAAGGCACCGGTCGTGGATACGGAAGAGGCACTGAAAATGTGGGCAGGGACCCGCCATCTCCAGTCATCACACCCCCCTCCTCCTCTCAGATCTCGTTATTTAAGCAACAGTAAATCCCTCTGTACCTGGGAACACGGACTGCCCAGGTGCTGGGGTCACCTGCCTGTGACCCCGTGTCTCTTAGCGATGGTACTTAGCTTTTGCACAGGAAATGCTGTAGGACACAGACTGTACATACCTAGTGTTTAGAACCCCATGAGGTTTTTTTGATGCATGTCTGAATACTGATGAGTTTATAGGAAAAAAAAAAAAAAAAAGACAAGTGCAAACCAGTCTGTATAAAATCCACAACCAGTGACAATGTTGTTCCGAGTGCTGGATAAAGGAGGCTCGGGGCAGCCAGGTGGGCACTGGCTGCAGAGCAGGGGCAGGAGCCTCATGAAGGAGCCATGTCTGGGTTGGAAGTGGGAGCCAGGAAGGAGCCCTGTGCCCAGCTGAGCCACCCTGTCCTCCCACCCACTCCTCTCTCCTCTCTCTGTTGCCAAATGTTTTTCTCTGGGGGTCCCTGTTGGGACCCTCAGTGCTGTCCTTTGAGAGCTGTGCTTTGGCAAGTCCCTGTCCCCAGTCCCACCATGCTGGTGCCAGCAGGGCAGGGACAGCCCAGCGTGGAAGGGCAAGGCAGGGCTGTAATTTCCCACACACACAGTGTTAACCCCAATCTGTTCAGTGTGCCTTATTCAGCCCTTCTGTCCCCTCTGTGTCCCACCCAGGCCGTCTCACATCCCTCCTCTCTGTCCTGCTCCAGTGCTTTGCAGTTGGATGGTGGGTGTGAGTGTGCCCTGCGGGTTTCAGCAGCCTTGCCAAGCCCTCCTCAGCTCCCTGTCATGTGGTCACAGGTTTTTACAGGGTTCTGACAAAATCCTGCAGGTTTAGGGCAGGATTCCCAAGGAATACAGACATGGAGTTTCACAGAGCATCCTTAACTTATTCCTCAATGGCAGCTCTGTGCCTGCTAAAGCCCCTGTTTGTTCTGGGTGAATCAGAGCTGCACTCCTTTCCTTCTCCAAACAGATTGCAGAGCCTTGGCCAGCTCTGCCTGGCTCTCAGGAGGGAGGGACAGCCCGGGGTTTTTCCCTGCTTGGTTATTTTCCTGAAGACTCAGGCACGAGGCTCACACAGTGGCCAAGCACAGAGAGACCCCCTGCCCATGAGGGCATCTGGGAGAGGGGAGTGTGCGTCCAGCACAGTTTTTGTGCAACCCCAGAGCAGGAGGAGCAGGAATTTTTCATGCTGAACCACGGTGTCTGAGCCACAACACTTCAAAAGTGGTTTATTTTCATGGCACTGAGGGCATTGGAGCTGTGTGTTTTGTCCAGCCAAGGCTTTGCAATCCCCAAAGGCTTCCCAGGAAGCAATATCCATGTTTCCTTTGTAAATAAGATCTTTTAAAAGCCCAGCGTGGCGAGGTGGTGAAAAGGGCAATGAACACGCCTAGGATGTGGTGTGGGCTTCACCCTGGTGGCTCTGAGCAGCCCTTGGGTGCCGTGGCCAGGCTGTGCTGGGAGGGCTGTGTGTGCTCTGCAATCACAGCCCTGGGGGTTCAGAGGGACAGGAGGGGGCAGCTTGTCTTCATCCAGCTGAGTGACCGTGTGACATGAGGGGTGAGCAAGTGGCTCGTGGCTTGGGCAGCAGGACACCCCAAAAATGGCAGTGACTGGGGTTCCACGGGGCTCCACCCTGGCCCTGTGCTCTTCAACATCTTCGCTGACAGCCTGGACACAGGACTGGAAGGGATACTAAGGAACTTTGCTGACAACACTAAATTTGGGCACTACTATATAAAAGAAGATACTAAGCTATTGGAGGGTGTCCAAAGGAGGCCACAAGGATGGGGAAGGGTCTGGAGGGGCCTCATGAGGAGCAGCTGAGGGTGCTTGGTTTGTTCAGCCTGGAGGAGACTGAGGGGAGACATTGTGGTCTTCAGCAGCCTCAGGAGGGGCAGGTGCAGATCTCTTCACTTGTGAGCAGTGACAGGACCCGAGGGAACAGCTGCAGCTGTGTCAGGGAGGTTTAGGTTGGAAATCAGGAAAAAGTTCTTCCCCCAGAGGGTGGTGGGGCACAGCACCAAGGCTGTCTGAGATCAAGAAGTGTTTGGACAGCTCTCACGTGGTGGGATTTTTGGGTTGTCCTGTGGGGGGCCAGGAGATGGACTCGGTGACCCTGGGGGGTCTCTTTCAAGTCAGCAAATTCTGTGATTCTGTAATCCCCAACCACTGGGAGCTGTTTCCAGGTTCTTCCCTGCACTTGAGCCCACAAGCCCAGTTGGCACCAAAGGAGGTCTCGCTCTCTGCCAAGCCCCCAGAGCCAGAGGCTCAGCCCATGGTGTGGGGATGGGAGGTCTCAGTGCCCCCCAGCTTTCCTCCCCCTTCACCCCTTCCTCTGCTGAGCAGTGTCCCCGCCACAGCTCCTGGCTCGTGTCCCACCCTCAGGCCAGGTTCTCAGGGCTTGAGGGACCCTAAAAGAGGGTCCCCTTGCCTGGAGCAGCTTCAGGTTTGCTGACCAGACACCCCCCTCCACTCCAGGAGCAGTCCCTGGGGAGCAGAAACCCAGAACATGTGCAAGACTGGCCATGAAGCGTGTTCCCATCTCGCAGGCAGCATCCTCAAGGCCATCACGTCTTTTTGGGGAGAGGGAAGAGTCTGAGTGCCCTCTCCACACGGGGCAGGGAGTGGGGAGAAGCGATGTCCCCAGTCACCAGCCCCCTGCCCCAGGCCTCTCCCCACAAGCAGTTCCGTTGTATTATAGATTTACCACTAACCCCCATGGTGGCATCTTCTGCAAACATTTCAGACCTGTAACTTTTATATTAAAGACAAATAAAACACCAGTAACGAGCCTGCCTGCTGATCCTGTTTACAGTGCATGCACAGTCTGTGGATTAAAGTGACAATCGAATCCGCCTCTGGCGCTGGTGTGGCCTCGTGTTTTCTCATGTGCCCCCCATGGTTTTCCTCTTCCCCTGCCTCTTTCCCCTTTATTTTTTCACTATAAATTTCTTCCCTCTCTGTGCCAAGATGGCTTTGCCTCCATACAAGCCATACACTTGGGAGGGGAAATTTGTCACCTCCTCTGGGCACCGTTGTCCCCGTGTCAGGGGTTTTGGCCCCGGCGTGTGCCCAGCCCGTGCAGTGGCCGTGTGCCCGCAGCCAGGGCTATAAATAACCCCTGCAGTGGCCGAGCTGCTCCACGCTGCTATTTCAGTCCTGGACAGGGTTCAAAATTCCTCTGGAAATAATTGTCACGGGCCGGCTCAGGAGGAGAGTGCCCAGACAGTGACTGAGCACGTGCCCCCTGTGCCAGGGCTGGAATGTGGGGCTGCATCCCAGGGAACCAGCTCAGCAGGAGGGGAGTGCCCACAGCTCTGTGTCCCCCCAAAGTGCTCGGCCAGTGGCCCCCCAGGCCAGGGCCATGTGGAGATTCCCCTTCCCTGGGGTCCTGCATGGGCTCGTGCCCACCTGCTCTTGGGAAAAGCCTGATTTCAGCTGCTGCAGGAGAACTTACCCTGAATTTTGTGGTGGGCAAAGGGAGATGTAGGTCCTTGGTGTGCAGAGAAAACGGAAGCTTTGGCTACAGCTGAATTTTATTTCAATCTGGAAGCAGCAAGAGGTGGCAATACAGGGGAGGTGTTGTGTGGTGGGGTGGGTGTGTGCAGAATTACTGTAGAACTGCATGCATGGGTTTGTATCTTCTCCCACTGTTAATGACCAGTGAGGGCTTCCCATGCACCTGTTACTTCTGCTCCATCTCCGACCCCAATCCTACGAGATGCTCCCTCTGCACCAGAGTCCCACGAGCCCACAGCAATGGGATTCAGCATCCTGCAGCAGAGCCCGATCCTGCCCATGGATCCCACACAGCTCCCTGCCCAGAGCTGGATCCAGCAGGATGCAGCATCTCCCTGCCCTGGGCTGAGCAGATGGCTGAGGGCTCCAGGGCAGCTCCTCGCCCTGCCGGGAAGGACGGACGCTGCCCCACAGCCCCAAAAACTCTTCGTTGTCACCCGTTTCCACACAAAGCTGTGGCCACTTCACCTGCCCGTGCCCCACACACCCCCCTCAGGCGGCGAGCCTTGGAGTCCTTGGCACACGCCCAGGGTCCTTGTCACAGGTACAGGGACACCAGGACGTAGATGATCCAGCTGATGGAGGCGAACAACCCGAAGAGGAGGCTGATGAGGACCAGTGACTGCGCCTTTCGGGATGCCACGTACGCCTGGGCCATGTCCCCACGGGCGAGCGCAGCCCGGGTCTGGGGCAGGGGGAGAAGGGGAAGGTTCAGAAGAGACCCGCAGCACCACGAGGGGCTTCCAGGCCGCCAGGTGAGTCCTCGCTTACCTCGTGGGAGTAGACGAGGGCCATGACCCCGGTGAGCACGCAGCAGAAGAGGGTCACCAGCACCGACTCCACCGTGTAGTCCTTGGGCCGCTGGCGCCCGCGGCCCGCGGGTGAGGGCCCCGCGGCCGGCTGCGCGGTGTGCTGCGGCACGGGCTGCTCAGAGCGGCCCGAGCCCGCCGTGCTCCCGCCGGGCCGCGCCCCTCAGGGCCCCGCGGGAACCCCGCAAACCCGGCGGGGGAGACACGGGGGAGCCCCGCTGCAGAGCGGGGCCGGAACATCGGGGTGGGCGATACGTACCGGGCTGTAGGGCAGCGGGCCGGCGGGGAAGCCCGGGGCTGGGAAGGGCCGCGGTCCCGGCCCCGACGGGTAAAAGACGGGCCCTTGCTGGGAGCAGCCGGCTGGGAAGGGCGGGTACAGGGGGTGAAAGCTCTTGGGGTCCGGCGGCGAGTAGGGTGGAGGGGCCCCCTCGAAGGCTGAGTTGGTGACCACCGACACGGCCACGGGCCTGTCCCCGGGGGCCGCGGGCGCGTCGCTGCGGGTGCCGGGGCTGGGAAGCCCTGCGGCCGGCCCGCCGCCATCCCCCGGCTCCGCTCCCCGCCCGGCAGCGGGGCCGCGGGGCTGGGGCCCGGCTGGCGGCTCACCGTCCATCCGCGGAGACGCCTGCGGGGACAGCGAGCTTCTGACGGGACGGGACACCCAGCCGAGCGGTCACCGCGGGTGCGGGGTGCGATGGGGCCGCCCTCGTGCTCCCCCCCGGCGCCCCATCC